TGGTCTGGCAGGAGGTTCCCAGGTCACTGGGTCTCAGAGGAAGGCAGAGCCGTGTTCTTCCCCGCCATGCTGCAGGTGTGTGATGTAATCAAGTGCTTACTCCTCTTGCTACCCTGCCGCTGCATGCACCGCATGCTAGAGAAGTCAGGAGGTGCTCACACTGAGCCTGCACTACTCCGTCTGCTCCGTCTGCACTCTGATCCTCCAAAGCAGAGCAAAGTTAAATAAGCCTTTATACAAGTCACTTGCTGCCTGGGGATCTCTGCCGTGGCAACACGAGGTACTAATACACTGTATATTCAAACCACAAAGGATCGCCACAACACAGACTGCCAAGTCGCACCGCTGGGTTCCATTGCCGGGCCCCACTGCAGGGTCCCACTGCTGTGTCCCATTGTCGGATCCCACCGCCGGGTCCCACTGCTGGTTTCAGATTCCACACCTTTAGTGCAGACCCAAGAGTCTGCATTTTACCTCATCCTCAAATGGTGTTGCTGATGGGGACCTGGGAATCAGATTCTGCAGACTACTGCCCAAGAGAGCGTTAATCCTGGGAAAATCCTGGAACTTGCTCACACACATACCATGGTATCAGGCAAAAGTGCTCTTTCGAGAAAAGCAGGCTGGAATCAAATGAGCCAGACTAGCACATTTCACCTCATTTTCCTGAGATACACCAGAGAATAAGGAGAGCAACAAGTGGCAAAGGAAACGGTGAGTAGCATATGGTCTTTTATCTTTAATATACAATGTGGCAGCTGGGGTCTTCATTAGCTTTCCTTCACATCTCAAAGAAGTAGCTAGCATTTTTTTCCTGCTCACTTCAAAAACACTCTGAAACCCGCTGAGACAGACCTTTCCTTCTCCAAAACTACTGAACTGAAGTCAGTCTCTAGTGACTTCAGCTGCCCAAACCACTGCGGCCTTAACCTCCATTGGAAGCCTTTGTTTTAGCAACCTGCTCCCAGTACATCATTGCTCTGATCTATGTTCTCAGCCTCTTTTTACAGCTATTTAAAAAGCTCAAGGGGAGGGGCTGGAGAGATGGCTCAGAGGTTAAGAGCATTGCCTGCTCTTCCAAAGGTCCTGAGTTCAATTCCCAGCAACCACATGGTGGCTCACAACCATCTGTAAAGGGGTCTGGTGCCCTCTTCTGGCCTGCAGGCATACACACAGACAGAATATTATATACATAATAAATAAATAAATATTAAAAAAAGAAAGCTCAAGGGGAGGGAACACAAAGCCTCAACTCCAACTAAGAAGCTACTGGCAAATGATGGCTGTTGGGGAAGGAAGAGTCCATTTTCTTTGGAGCAACGGATCCTGATAGGCTGCTAGGGCTCGAGTGAATGGTCCAGCACCATGTACATGCAGGCTGCTCTAACTGGACTCAGTGAGAACTTAAAAGAAGACATGAAGGTACAAGGGGGATGTGTTGGGGATCAGGAGGAGAGGAAGAGAGGTGGGGTAGATATGATCGAGATACACTGCATACATATATGAAATCGTCAAAGAATGAAAAATACTTTAAAAAAATAATTTGCTGTAATCCTCTGTATTTTTATCATTGAGAACTTTACCTTACCCCCATATCTCTGAATACTCACAGTTTACTACTGCATGTGTTTTGTTGAGATGCTGTTCCAAAACTAATGTCATTCTTGGGGAAAAAAACATTCTCAAGGGAAAATATCTGCCCGTGCTATTGAGTAAGGAAAGGCCCTTTTCTGAGTACAGGCTGAGATCTGCTTGGAAGGCGATGAGGAGGGATGCAAATGTCCTGGTTCAGGAATCCTGCCTGCTTCTCTCCTTTTACATAGTAACAGGAAATCTTTTCCTTAGCATCCTAAATAGCGCAGAAGACCAATGCAAGTACATTTCAGTATTAGCGCATAATCGGTACACCAGGGAAGGCAGTAAACAGATACCATACCTCTTCCGTGGGACAAGGCCGTCAAGGTAGAGATCTAATCTAGAAATTGCTTTGCTCTAGAGCTGACAGGCAATGAAAAGTACATTAAGTCTTTGACCAGTGTCTGCCTGTGTGTGTGTGTGTGTGTGTGTGTGTGTGTGTGTTGTGTTTGAGACAGGGTCTTATAGCACAGGCTACCTTGGAATTCTCTTTGTAGCCAAAGCTGGTCTACATAAAGAACTCGTAGCAATCCCCAGCCTCAGGTTTGAGCCACCTCACCCAACCTCTTTGGTTCTATGTTCAGTAATGTCCATGAAAGCGCAAACAGAAGAATGAGAAATTGGGGAGATGATCCCCAATTCAGCAGACCTCCTTAGCGGCTCCTCTTCCTGGTGAATCACTCCTACAGGTGTTCCCCACACTCACACTCTGATTAACTCTTCAAGTTCATCCATACGGGAATATTTATTTTCTATTGTTTTGTTGTTTTTGAAGACAGGGTTTCTCTGTGTAACAGCCCTAGCTGTCCTGGAACTACTTTGTAGACCAGGCTGGCTCCCCCTCCCGAGTGCTGGGATTAAAGGCATGTTCCAGCACCGCCCAGCCTTTATGGGAATATTTAAAACAACTAGTTTTTGCCGCTAATTTTAGCAAGTTCATGTCCATTAAAAATAATGTCAGCAATGATTCCCAACATCACCTCAAGCTGACATATAAAACATGCAACTTTAACATATCCCTATGTCCCTGCATCCCTAAGTCTACATCTTTAAAACACCCTTTTTTGTTCCCTCTTGACCTTCCTTGGGTAGTGGCGATTGATCATTGACAATCCTTCACCTCAGCTCTCAACCACCTGTGTCTTCCCTCACCCTGAAGTAAGACCCAAGGATGAATGGAGTCTGCACTCTTCATATCGTTCCTAAACCCAGAGCTACGAACAAGGCCAGCCATCAAAAAAGAGTAAGCTAAAAGTATTTTTAAACTAAAACTCCCCTTCAGTCCAGTCACTAATGTTACTTAATCCTACACTTTCTTCCCAGTGTGGTCCAACCAGAATCTCTATTTCAACCTATCTACCACATAGTTACCAGCTTCCTTCCAAAACATAATACCACTCCCTTAAAAAAAAAAAATTCTGGAAGATGGCAAGATGGCTCAACCATTCATGGCACTTGTCACAATCCTGATGGCCTAAATTCAATCCCTGGAACCTATATGGTAGAAAAGAAAATCAACTCCCAAAAGCTATCTCCTGACCACTACACACACGTCCCCTACATACACACACGCACACACACACACAAATAAATATAGACGGATGGATGAATAGGTTTCTTCGACCTTTTCCCATTGCACATATCATATTTAACAAAATCCACACCCTTCATGATTTGATCCCCCTCCCCTTCACCACATCCACCATGCATCTTAAGGGGCTTTCACGACAACAAACACAAGCTAATCTCTTAACTGGAAATCTACCATTTCCTCAACACCCTTCCCCACTCCCTCGTCTAAGTAACATCCACCCTTGCCCAGTGACCTCTCCGCTGTGCCCCACTGAATGTCACTTTGTATCATAATTATATCCCACATTTGAAGAGCCTATTAAAGATGGTTCTGCCGCTGGAACTCTGGCGCACTCAATTGACCCTGTGTGCAAGGTGCACGTAATATGAATTTGTTGAACACGTTTATATGCATGCATACCCAAAAGAATAAAATCTTTCAACATCTTGTATTACTTCAGGGGGCGATATACCTTTTTCAGCAGCACAGGCCACTACTGTGAGCATTTCTGGAACTACTCAGAGGCCATTTGGAACTGCCTTTCAAACCTGTTTACCCTCCAGAGATGGCAATCACTCCCCTTACTTTATTTATATGCATGAAACATTTTCAACCAAAAATAGTAGTGGCAAATTTGGGCACTGCCGTCCTCCACTCACCCTCCTGCATCATATGGAATTGTTCCAAATTTCTGGCTCTTTCAAACAAGGAAGTCCTCCTCAAAAGACAACTCCCTGTCTCTGCCAGGGAGCCACAGACTCCCAAGGGATTTCAAATGGCAATGCACAGACGTTGCTCATGGTAGCATGAGTGTGATAAGCAGAGCCTCACCAAAGGCTCCCATCTGATGCTGAAGACTTAAGAGTGCATGTTTAGGGGCAGGCTTCGTTTTCCTTTAAATATTTCATTTTACCTTCTCAAATACATGTTTAATAAAATTATACATTGCTGAGTTTTTTTTTGGCTTTTCCAAATGATAAGAGGGGCTAAATCTTTTCATTAATTCTGTGAATGCCAAGAAAACTGAAAACTGAACGTGACTACTGAATCATTTCCAAAGTCATGAACTTCTGCTTTAATAACTTCATTAGGATATTCTTAAGGCAGAAACTGCACCACCCTTGTCCAAGAAAAAGGTTTCACCATTTGAAAGACTGACACTACAGAGAACGAGGTCCTGATTTTGCATAGTTCTGTAAGGGGAGCCTGCTGAGTGAACTGCCCCATTCCAGTAAGGAAGATACAAGAAAAAAGGGCACGGCCCCACCACTCAAGCTGTCAAAATCAACGGAGACAACACCTGTATTCTATAGCACATGTCCCAGTGAGGCAGTTCACACGGATAATACTCACTATTACCCTCCCCAACTGGTGTGGAGGCAAATAAGTCTTTTTATCCTCAAACCATCCCCTCAGGAAGGGAGAATGGTGCCCTTCCCCATCACTGGGCTGGGCAAACTGAGGAAGCAGTGAGCAAAGGGGGTGGTCTCATATGCCTCCTTTCCTCTCACGCCAGCACCAAAGGCTGAGCCCTGGATTTCTGTCATCCCACTTCCAAGCCGTCTTGTCCAGCAAGAAGAATCAAACTCCAGCTCCTTTCCGCAGAGATGCACACGGACCCAGACACCGCCCGGCCCTAGCTCCCTGGAGCGGCAGGTGGAAGCACCGTAATGGTGGAAGCAGGAGGAGAGGAGAGGAGGAGCCCTCAGCATCCCCCACCGTCCCAAATCGCTGCCGAGGCGAGCCGAGGCCGTAGGCCAGGGACCCCTGACTCCCCACCCACGATGGGTACCTTCGAGTACTCCTGAGCCAGCTTCTGGTACTTCCCCTGCAACTCTGCGGAGGCCATGGCCTCCCCCGCCCCGTCCAGGCCCGGCCGCCCGGGCTGCTGAGCCCCGCCCCCCGCCCCCAACCCCGCACTCGCTCCTGGGCAGGGCTCTGCCAGCTTCTGCGGCTCCGCCGCCGCGCCTCCTCCTCCACTTCCGGGTTTCGGGGCGGGAGGAAGGCGGGGCGGACCCTGGGGCGGGGCGACCACGGGGGCGGGGGGACGTCTTGACATCACTGCCCCGCCCTCCCGTGCTCGAGTTCACGCGTGTGCGGCCCGGTCGAGGTGTCTGTTCTGTGCCTGTGCTCGGCCTGTGGCCCGAGGCGCCATCTTGGGCCGGGCGTCAAGATGGCGACCCGGCTTGGGGCGAGCCAGACTCAAGAAGAAAGAATATGGGGCCTACGGAATGCACGGAGCACTACGGAGGGAGACAGGGAGAGAGGAACGGAGAACCGGAAGGAGAAGCGTTCTAAGAGCTAACGAGAATTCTGGCTACCCTGTCCCGTGTTCCCATAGCAACTGCCTGGCGTCTGCTGGTTGCATCTTTGAAGAGGAGCCTGGAAGCCAGTATTCTGCTGTCTCTCATTCGTTATCTGGATGTACAAGACTTGCTCTGCACTGTAAACTGTCAAACCTACCTATAAAAAGATTTATAACACTTGCCCTTCTCCCCTCCCTAGATCAGAAAACCGTCATTGCCTTGGGTGTTTTGACATGATATTTGTGTTCATTCTTTACTCGGTCATGCCACATGCCCACTCCTGACCCCTTTCCATGCATCTGAACCATTTTCAGCGGCCAAAAGGCCATTAGGAAATTCCTGAGAATTTCTGCCACGCATTGAGATGTAAACAACGATAATGGTTTAAAAAGAAAAACAACTAAAATTAGATAGCTTTAGATACCTTATAATGAAAAACTACCTCCCTTCCTTAATTTAAAATAATTCTTTACAATTCTGTTAGGGATTAATTTAACTGTAGCACTGAAGTATTGATAGAATAATATGAATTAATAAAAAAATATATGTTTGTTGAGTATAATATGGTAGTTGAAACTAATGAACTACATTTGTACATATCTACATATATATATATATAAACATAAACATGTCAAAATACCATATTGAATGTAATAAATTGTGCTGGATGCTGCTGTGTAAGCCTTTAATCCCAGTACTTAGAAGGTAAAAGCTGGTAGAGCTAGGAAGTTCCCATGCCAGCCTAGGCGACACAGTGAAACTGTCTCAAGAAAATTAAATTACAATACCATATAAGTATATTTTTAAAATATGAAGTAGAAGCCGGGCGGTGGTAGCACGCGCCTTTAATCCCAGCACTCAGGAGGCAGAGGCAGGAGGATCTCTGTGAGTTCAAAACCAGCCTGGTCTACAAGAGCTAGTTCCAGGACAGGCTCCAAAGCTACAGAGAAACCCTATCTCAAAACAACAACAACAAAAAACAAATATATATATATATATATATATATATATGTAGAACCAGTAGAACCAGCCAGACATGTTCAGCCATGCCTGCAGTCCCAGCACTTGGGAACTTGGGAGACTGAGGCAGGAGGACTTCATGTTCAAGGGCAGTCAGGGCTACATAGTAAGTCCAGGCCAACCAGGGCTGAATAGCAAGATCTTATTTTAAAAATTGTGTGTGTGAGTGTGTGAGACCTACATGAAGTAACATTTTGTATTATTCTCTTTTTTGCCCACACCCCTTTGTGTGTGTGTGTGTGTGTGTGTGTGTGTGTATGAGTGTGGGTGTATATGAGTGTGTGTGTGTGTGAATGTGTATGAGAGTGTGTGTGTGTATGAGTATGTGTATGCATGTGTGTGAGTGTGTGTGTGTGAGTGAGACCCACATGAAGTAACATTTTGTATTATCTCTTTTTTTTGCCCACACCCTTTGTATTATTCTTAAACTCACAAGCATGTATGTAGTAAAAGTCCAGAGACAAGAACTGGAAGGCTACACATTAAACTGGTTAGTGGATGCACTTAGTGAGAAAAGAAAGAAATGAAACTGACAGGACAGATGAACATCAATTTTATTTCTTTAGGTTTTTAAAGGAAATAGTATTATATTATGGAGGAAATATGTCTAAGAATGCTAGGTCAGCACTTTAGACTATAACTGAAATGAAAACCGGGCTAGCCTAGTTTCCCTTTTCCTGTGAGCAATCAGGACTCGTACAGCAGAGCTTAGCCTGGACCCTCTTTCTGTACGGAAGCTAGAAGAGGTGTTTGCACTTTTGGTTTGCTAATGAACAGCTACTGCCATCCAAACTATCAGAATAGTTTCTAAAAGTTGTGTTAGTTTTCTGTGGCGCCACCAAGTGGCAGAATTAAATATTGTGCTATATTTCCATGCTTCCTCAAGGAATGGAATTCTTTTTATTGTTTTAAAAATGACATTCCAGAAAAAACATTCCAAAGAAAGAATGGGCAACTTTAGCCAGTGAGCCCGTGTAAGTTCATGTTACTGAACTTAGAAATTTATTTCTACTGGCTGGCTGTTTGGTCAGACACTGTTTTAAAGCTCTAGTTGGTAAATATGAATAATTTAAAATTAAGACTCTCAATTGATACTAAAGAAAGAGACAAGCCACAAAGGGGAAAAAGTTAATTGCAGCATGTGAACCCAACAGCAGGCTCCTGTCCAAATATAGAAAGAGCTCCAACAAATCAATTTTTTCTATTAAAAAAAAGCCATACCTACTTATTTTACTACTTCAAAGGATGGCTGAGGCATGGGGAATAATTAATTGCCAAGTAGACTTTAAGGACCCGTGATCTGAGGGGAAAATTCAGAGCACTGTGAAGACTGAAAGTGACAGGAGAATACTCCTGTTTAAAATGCAATGCCAGCCTGGCAAAATGGCTCAGAGAGTTCTACCATAAAGCCCAGTGTCTGATTTGAATCCCAGGACACACGTGGTGAGAGCTGACCCCTGCAAGTTGTCCTTTGACTTCCACACATAAGCTGTGACATGTACAGCGCGCAAACGCACATACACACATGCAGTACACACATAGATACACATGCACAAATACACACAAGCACACACACAATAAAAAGTTTAAAATATATAAAATGCAGTACCATTCTGTCAACGGTTATCAAACCTAATAAAGAAAGCACTGCACGTTAATATCTCACATCTCTAAGATTCAGAGAGATGGAGCAAAAGTTGTCCGTTGCTGACTTACAGCTGACTCTGGTGTGCAGTGCTCACAGTCAGTACTCATTATTCGTAGACTGCATCGGGAAATTTGCGTAATGTGTGCTGTAGCTTAAATCCAATCCTCACAGGGGCATCTGCAAGCATGCACAGAGTAGCAAAAGATCTGAGTTACCCAAAACCTGTGTTCCCAACTGAGGAGGACTGCATTATTTTGTTTAAAATTTTGCCCTTTCAGTGGCCCCAAGCATAGTGGTGAAGCCCTTCCTACCCCTAGTCCTAAGTGCAAGAAGACTTTTAGCTTTATGAAGGTGGAAGTGTACAAGAAGCATCATTTAGCCTTAAGTCCAGAATGCTATTGTTGGACATGGTGATCCATTCCTTTAATCCCAGAATTTAGGAGGCTGAGGCAGGAGGATCTCTGAGTTTGAAGCAGGCCTGGTCTACAGAGTGAGTTCTAGGACAGGTAGAACTACATAGAGAGACACTGACTGAAAAAAATGGCTATTGATAGCTGGTTTGATATTAATGAAGCAAAGATATGTATCAAATAATGTATCTTTAAACCAAAGTACATGTGAAATGTGGTTATGTGTGGAATGATTGAGGAAAATGTGACCAGACACTCTCCAAAACCTAGTATTTTCCACAGTAGTTATGCTATTTGCTAAGTTAATGTTTACAACCATTTATAGAACATATGTAATGTGTGTATTAAGATTCAGCTGAGACATATAGATTGAGGATATTGTAGAACTTTTCTTGACCTCATGGATAAGCAATTATGCCATTGACTTACTGACAATATGAGGAACACCATGAGCCTCTGGATCTACTGACAGACAATACGAGAAACACCATGGGCCTCTGGATCTACTGACAGACAATATGAGAAACTCAGTGGGCCTCTGGATCTACTGACAGACAATATGAGAAACTCAGTGGGCCTCTGGATCTACTGACAGACAATGTGAGAAACACCGTGAGCCTCTGGCAGAATGTTATTTCATGGAGAGTAGACTAGAATGCACCTGTGTTGTCTCAGCTGTGGGAAGGTCCCCATGTTTTCCCAGGTCTGAAGAGCAAGAACTTCATTCAGACTTCCTCCCTCACCCTCCAAAGCAGACATTCAGAACAGAACAGGGAAAGATAAAAGAAGACAGCTCATGGGGCCTTTTATTATATAGCACGTTCTATATATAAACAAACCAGTTTGGTTGTTTATGAGAGCGTGTCTCACTGCATAGCCCAGGTTAGCCTTGAACTCAGAATATTCCTGCCTCAGCTTCTCAAAGTCCTATGTTCAAGCCCCAGTACTGCAACATAAAATAAATTATATACATATGTAATTCATTCATCCATCAGTGAGCATCTGGTTTGTTTCCACTTAAGGATGTTGTAAATGTTTCTTCTGTGAACACAGACGCACAGATATCCTTTGGAGTCCTTGCTGAGGGCAAGCCCAGAAATAGAGTTCTTGGGTTGTCTGGTAACTTTGTTTCAACTTTCATGGACCTGTACTCCTGTTTCCCACAGTGTTTTCCTGTGGATTGCACAAAGCTTTGACTCTGCACCAGCACAAGCATTTGTCATTATCTATGTTTTTTGTCTAATCTGTCAGAATTATTTAAAAGCAGTGTCTCTGGCCTTAGTTTGCATTTCTCCAATGATTGAGCTTGCTGAGTGCCCTTTCCTGTGCTTGTCGCCATCTTAGATGTATGCATTACCTTACCTCCCTCCGAACCGCACTCCTTGCTTTCTGTCTGTGTGGTAGGACTCAGGTCTGCCTCTATTCAGTCCTCTGAAGTCGGGACAGTATGTCTTTCCTTTGCAGCTCCATCATGAGAACCAATCCTGAAGTCTCATTAAAGGCCACTGCCTCATTGCAAAACAGGTCTAGAGGTCTCCCCATCAGTCCTGCCCTCCTTCTCCTTCTTCTAGCTTCAGAGTAAAAGTGGATTCCTA